GCCATTTCTGGAGGCCAGATTATAATTTGAAAAATTAGCAAAATAAAGCAATAATTGAAATAGCCACATTGACACTCCAGGTCTGTGGCTACTGCACAGAAAACTCTACACATCTCACTGAAGTGGTTTACATAGAGCATAGCAACTGCATAGTTAGTGCCTTACCAGTGTGGACACCTCAGAATTACAGTCCTGAGAGCTGATTCCTGCCCTGTACTGCCAGTGAACGCTTGGTTGTAGGTCTGTAAACCAGCTCACCACCTGGGAAGGTAAAAATAAAGTCCTATCTCCTGGTCACTGTGATTCTTCTGCTCTCAAAACATCCACTAAATTCAGTAAGTTTCTTCAATGATAGTTTTGCCTGGCAAAAGCAATGCAGCATTCACATAATTGTGATTCCCCAAATACAGAGAAATCACTGAGGATTTTTTTTTTTTGCATTAAAAGTAGTTTTTTCTTTGACTAAGAAAAGCCTGTGATTAAGTTGCTATGTTTAAAATGCTATTTTATGAGATTCAACTGCACAATTCGTAAGAAGCCTTCCTACTTTAAATAGCATGGATGTTTTGAAAGCAGAAAAAAGTGAAAAGAGCCTATTTTCTCCCTTTTCAAGATAAAAGAAAACAGGAAAGCTGACTTTGTACAGAATTGGACCATTAAAGAATTACTTCTTAAAACAAAATACAGACTTCTCTTTGTTCTTTTTCATTAAAAAATGGGTTGTGGAGTCAGATTTCATAAATGCTGAAACTCTTTTGTCAGAAGCAAATGCTGCAGAGAAATGCTGTTAATTTTTCTTCTTGTTCCTTGAAGTTCGAAGTAAATTACATGTCCCATAACTAAATGGATCAGTTCTGAGAGATGTGTCCAAATTCTCATGATTCATAATACAAATAAATCATCTAATTGCATCTCAAGATTTGTCTTGTGTTCACAGTGAACCTTGTTCGTGTAGTTTTGAAAGTTTTACTCAGCATGAGAGTTCAGAGAGTTTTTTAAGAGTACTGAGCACCCTGGCTCCTGAATTAGTGCTATGCATTTGGGATGAAATCTTGGCTCCATTGAAGTCAACAGGAGTTTGCCATTGACTTCAATGGGACCAGTGTTTCACCTTTGGTCTGCAGTACAATTTGTGTACAGTTTTATGCCTGTTTAGATCCCTGTCCTACAAGTATTCACCACAGACATGTGAGGGACCTCAGATATGAAAATGCAGAACTACTAACTGTGGTATGTAACGTATCACTTAAATCAGCCTTTTAACTAGAGAACTGGATGGATAGATAAATGAAATTAAAAATATCTTTAGAGGTGATCCTGGCAATCGCAGGCCAGAAAGTCTAAATTCATCACTAGGCAAATTGGTTGAAATGATAGTAAAGAACAAACTTATCAGACACATAGATAAACATGGTATGTTGGGGAAGAGACAACACAGGCTTTTATAAGTAGAAATCATGGTTCCCCAATTTACTAGAATCTCTGAAGATGTCAATAAGCATGTGGACATGGGTGACCCAATTGACATAGTGTACTTGGACTTTTTGACACGTCACCAAGAGCTCTTAAGCAAATTAAGCAGTCATGGGATGAGAAGGAAGGTCCCCTCATACATCAGTGATTCCTTAAAAGATTGGAAACAAAGGTTAGGAATAAATAATCAGTTTTCACAGTAGATAGAGGTAAATAATAGGGTCCCCAAAAATCTGTATGGGATCTGTTCAACATTCATAACTGATCTGGAAGAGGGAGTGAACAGCGAGGTGGCAAAATTTGCAGATGGTACAAAATTACTAAGGCTATGTAAATCCAAATCTGACCGTGAAGAACTAAAAAACTGGTGACCAGGTGGACAAATTGAATGTCAATAAATGCAAAGCAATGCACATTGGAAAACATAATCCCAGCTATACATACAAAATGATGATGGGATATAAATTAGCTTTTACCACACAAGAAAGAGATTGTGGTGTCATTTGGGATAGTTCTCTAAAAACATCCACTCATTATGCAGGGGCAGTCAGAAAGCCAACAATGATAGAAACCATTAGAAAAACAATAGATAATAAAACAGAAAATATCACAATGCCACTAGATAAATCCATGGTAAACCCACGCCTCGAATATTGTGTGCACTTCTGGTCATTCCGGATATATCTACACTGCATTACTCTTTTGAAAGAGGAATGCAAATGCAGCTGAGCGAAATTTCAAATGAAGCGCGGATTTTAATTTTCTGTGCTTCATTTGCATAATCACGTCTGGCCGCTTTTTCAAAATACCCTGTTTCGAAAAAAGAAACGCTGTCTAGATGCAGTTATTTTGAAAGAAAACCCTTCTTTCAACATTACCCTTAAACCTCATTTTATAAGGAGCAAGGGTAATGTTGAAAGAAAGGTTTCCTTTCGCAATAACTGCATCTAGACAGCATTTCTTTTTTCAAAATAGGTTATTTCGAAAAAGTGGCCAGATGTGATTATGCAAATGAAGCGTGGGAAATTCAAATCTGTGTTTCATTTGAAATTTCACTCCGCTGCATTTGCATTCCTCTCTCGAAAGAGGAATGCAGTGTAGATATACTCTTCCTCTGAAGAAAATATACCTTTGGACTAGAAAAGGCACAGAAAAAGATAACAAAAATGATTAGGGGGATGGACCAGCTTCTGTACAAAGACAGAATAAAAACACAGGCCATTTAATTTAGAAGAGAGATGACTGAAAAGGAATATGATCTACAAAATCAGGGATGCTGTGAGAAAGTGAATAACGAAGTACTATGCAAAGGAGTGAATACATGAATCAGAGGTTATCTAATGAAATTAATAGGCAGTAAGTTTAAAACAAATATAAGGAAGTACTACTTCAAACAAAGCACAATCAGACACTGTGGATCTTAGTTGTCATGGGGCGTTGTGAAGGCCAAAAATATAAGTAGGTTTGGAAAAGAATCAGAAGTTTATGGAGAACAGGTCTATCAATGGCTATTAACCAAGATGGTCAGAGACATAATCCCATGCTCTTGAGTATCTGAAACCTCCAATTGCCTGAAGCAGGACCTGGAAATCAAGGCATGGATCCCTGAATAACTGCTCTCTTAATTCCCTCTGAATTCCCTTAATTCCCACTGTCTAAAGATAGTATATTAGAATAGCCAGAGCATGAGTTTGAACCATTATGACTATTATTGTGTTTTAAAAGGTGCAAAGTGTATCCTGAGCCTGGAAGGAGTTCCATCCACTTTCTTCACTAGGGCTCAGAGTGGACAAAGGAGTACACCTTTGCTGTAACTTTCATTACAAATTCCCTTGAGTTAAAAAAAGCCCTAAGGGTGAGGCCCCAGGATCTAACATTTCAGCCAGTTTTCAAAAATTAGAGTAATCACTAATGCTTTTAAGATATGTTTTTACTCACACAGGATATTGCAGATATTATGTTCAATGTCTGGCTCCTTATGGGAGATCTCCTAAATGAACAAGCTTTCAGAGCATAAGTGAAAAGTGTGAATAAGCACAGAACTGCAATACAAAGCCTCCCCTTTTCCCCCCCCAATCAAATATTTTTCAGGATTCAACATATTTTAATTTCATGAGCAGAATGGTTCTACCAACTAGATTAGCTGAAGTATATCTACTGTGTCTAGACTATCGGGTTTTTGCGGGATACCTTTGGTATCCCGCAAAACCCCCTCTGTGTCCAAGGAACACGTTTGCTCTTTCACTTTTTTCCACAGAAGAGCAAATGCACTCTTTCGGGAGTCCTGTACATCTCGATTCTCAAGGCATAAGGACTCTGCCAAAAGAGGAGGCTTTTCCACCATTTGGCCCTGTCTAGACTGGGCCAAATGGTGGAAAAGCCTCTTCCAGAAAAGCTATCAGAAAAAGCTATGCAAATTGCACTTTTTGCAATTTGTGTAGCTTTTTCTGATAAATCCCTGTAGTCTAGACCTAGTGAGAGAGAAAGTAATTCTATCAAGTAATTTTAAAAAGAGACTCAGTGGAAAATGTTTCTGTGTTTAAAAGTATCCCCTTGAACAAAACTTAGTTGCAGTTGTACATATAAAAGGTTTTGGTTAGAAAGTTCTTTAAGGTTGACACAATTTTCTTCACAGAAATTTAGGAAAATCTAACTTGCTTTGAATTCTTCAGCTGGAAATGTGAATTCTTAGCACTTGTGATGGCCATTTTTGTCTTGTTGCATCACCACCAAACCCTCCCGAAAAAACAAAAGCCCTGTTACACACAGCTGTAGAAGGGGAAAGGCATCTGTCTGAAAAATGCTTAACAGAAGTTTAGTTCCAAAGCTAATTGAAGTGAGTCTAATACCCTTACTTTTCTTCCATGGAAACATTCAAGGAGTAAGTTGCTATTGATCATTCGTAAAGGTGAAAGTTATCAGAGAAGGGCTCAGTTTATGGACAGTCCTAAATAGTTTCATTTTACAATGTGCATATTGCATATTTGGTTACTTCAACTTACAGTGAAATTGATATAATGAAAGGGGGGAGGAAGTGGTATTACTGTTACAAAGCAAAACCTCCTTTTCCATAAAAGAAATGCTCAGAGTTGCCTAAAGAACTGACATAAATCAGTGAAAAACTATAACATTATAGTAGAATGACATGTAATTTGTAATAATAAACACATCATTCACAACATCAGATACTGCAGATTGACTTTTCCTTTGAATACAAAATATTATTTTGTATTTAATTTATACATGCTGTTTTAATTAGCACAAATCCAGGGATAAATTATCATTTATTATTATCATTTATAATCAAGTGTGTCCAAAAAAGTTGCTTCATACATTTAAACAAATAAGACCGAATAAATATGAATGTAATACATAAATGCTGGAATATATATCTATATATATATATCTATATATCTATATATATCTATATATATATCTATATCTATATATATATATATAGTGTGTGTGTTTGTTAAAGGTTTTGTTAGGTTTTGTTACTAGTTAAATTGTGTTTTGTTCTGTTGCAGTTTGCTCCCAGTACTCTAGAGGAGTTTTTGCCATTTTTGGACTGTATGATAAGAGATCAGTACATACTTTGACCTCATTCTGCAGCGCCTTGCACATCTCCCTCATCACGCCAAGTTTCCCCACCGAGGGCGAGAGTCAGTTTGTGCTGCAGCTGCGACCATCTTTACGTGGAGCACTCCTAAGTTTGCTGGATCATTATGAATGGAATCGATTTGTCTTCCTTTATGACACAGACAGGGGTAAGTAGCAAACCTTTCTTATAACTTTGGTTTGACTGACTGTTGTGATAGCTGTGCACCTTTATATTGTGTTAGACATTTTCAAAATATAATAACATCTATTGGACTAAAATAATCTCAGTGGTTTTGCAGGCCCTCTACCCCCAGCCTGCTTCCTAACAGTTCCCTCCCACACACTGACTCCTTCATTTTTGGCTCCATCCTAAAGACTGGGGACCCACAAAATCTACTAGCCTCCCATGCTCTGTTATGGCTGTTAGGGGTGGCATATTCCCCATAAGAAAATTCAGAAAAGCATATTGCTACCAAATTATTTTCACCATCATTTCACAACAGAAAACAAGCTTCACTGAGACAGTGATGCAGGGCCATCATATTACAGCGAATGAGTTAACCTAAGGAGACAGAGAAGAATTTTGCTCTCATTTTTAATGGTGTAGATCTGGAGACACATCACTGAAGTCAATGGAGTTATGAGATTTATACTGGTGTAACAGAGAGGAGAGAGCACTGGCACACCTTAGTCTCCTCCCATTCCTTGCCTGAGGCACATAACAGGCTAGTCTTCTGTAAGTTTCCTTTGCTGCAGTCTCATTTCCATTGCTGGGTTTAGTGTGTGGGGGTTGGTGGCCTATTAAATACAAGTGGGCAGATTAGCTAGTCTAATGGGCCTTTCTGGCCTTAAACTCAATGACCTTGATGTGCTTTGGTATTGTGGCCACACAGCTACTTCCCTCAGCTTCTTTTCATCTGGAGAGTGTAATGTGAATATTTCAGGCCAAAGTAAACATAAGAGAATTTTTGAAATTGTGTAAAAAATAAATTCTATTCTTCCTGCTCTTCCCTCTTGACTTTCTCACATTAGATGAAAGTGGGACACAGCTGAAGACATTTTTGACATTTTCAACTCTGTTATTAGCTTTATGAAAATGTCTTGAATGTTAATAAAGCGCCCTGTACTGATAAATTGATTAATTGTAAATGTACTTAGAAACATAGAAATGCAAATTAGAAGGCATCTCAATAGGTCATCTAGTCCAGTGCTCTACCCTGAAATAGGACTAAATATTATCTAGACCATGCCTGATAGATATTTGTCTAATCTGTTCACAAAACCTCTCCTGAAGTATATTTTTCATCCTCCTAGGGAATTTATTCCAGTTCTCAACCACCCTGATGGTTCGGCAAGTTTTACTAATGTCTAATCTAAATCTCCATTGCTGCACTTTACACCCATTTCTACTTGTCCTGTCCTCAGTAGACTAGTAGAACAATTGGTCACCCTCTTAACAACTTTTTATATACAGGCAGTCCCCGAGTTACATACAAGATAGGGACTGTAGGTTTGTTCTTAAGTTGAATTTGTATGTAAGTCGGAACTGGCATCCAGATTCAGCCGCTGCTGAAACTGACCAGCGGCTCACTAAAGGAAGCCCGAGGCAGAATTGCTCTGCCCTGGGCTTCCTGGAATCAGCCGCTGATCAGATTCAACAGCAGCTGACTTGGGGGCGGCCGGGGGTTTTACCTTGAAAC